AAAGCCAAGGCACTGCCACATCATCATCTGCGCATGCATCAAGAAATACCCCACAACATGTACGCTGTATTTTGTAGAGAGATAATTTCACTACAATTAGCTTAAAAACTTGAAAATAATTTTTGTCTATTACAGTAATCGTTAAAAAAATGTATAAAGTTAATAAATACATAGGTTTGCGGAAACAAAGTAATTGTTACATGCCTGTGCTTAATTTGTGTTTTCAATTATTTGCCTGCTAAAAAATCTGGCATGTCTCGCACCCCCCAGAAAGGGTATCTCGCACCCCCAAGGGGTGCGTGCACCCGAGGTTAAGAACCTGGTTTAGAGAACTGATTTAGAGAAAATGTTTAAAGATTGCATGTTCCATTTTGCTTGTTTTGCCTTTTTGGATTTCTCAATTTCCCTTCCACCAGGTTTTTAAAAATTGATGTTTCCAATGGAAATAAGGCATGAATTTTTAACAGTGAGAGTAATTAACTATTTGAACAATTTACCCAGGGTGATGGTGGATTCTCCACCACTGACACATTTTAAATCAAGACTGGATGCTTGAGGAATTATTTTGAGGAAGCTGTATGGCCTGTGTTATACAGGAAGTCAAACTAGAGGATCACAATGCTCCTTTCCAGCCCTGGAATCTATCAGTATGAATACAGTAGAACCTCAGCAGAACCTTACTAACATCTGGGGAATGGAGGTTATTCATAACTCTGAAATGTACATAACTTTGAACAAAACACCTGAGCTACATTGAAGTGACTGGATTAACAGCTGATGAGTTATAGCTTCTTCAGCTCTACTGCATTATTCTAACTTGAGCATCAGCAGCACTTTAGCTTCAGCCCCCCACTCCCCCCAAACCAGCTAGCTCAAGCTTAAAGCACAACTTAACTTGAAACGGAGATTTGTGTGTGTGTGTGTATGGGAGTCAGATTAGGGGAAAGTTATTGCTTCTGCTAATGGTGCAGTGAAGACGAGCCCTGAGAAGAGCCACACGGACAAATCCCAGGGACTTCCTCAAAGTGCATCTCCCCCCTCATTGCAGAGTGGGATGAAGTAGAAGCCCCTCTTTGTCTTCATGCTCTCCCCACCCCTGACATCTATGTTCCTTCCCATCTCCCATTTAAATGGCTGCAGTGCCTAGCATTTCAGTTCCGCATGGTATGTAGGGAGAACCAAGAACTGGGTGAGGGGGGTGCCTGGGGATGTGGGGAGGCAGAGAGGTGATCAGGGCTATACGAGCCCGGATAGCTGGAAAATACAGTGAGTCTCCTCTGATACGACAGCTTCCCTCCCCCACCTACCTCCCAGGCCCCCAACCTGCCCTCAATTCCCAGGCCCCTGCATCCCACATCGCTGCCTATTCCAAGGGTGGGCAGCCCTTTCAGGGGCAGTCACATAAACAGAGCAGACATGTAGTCAGGGACATGTGGCAAATAGGTCTGGACAAAAAAAATTAAACAAAACATTACCATAAGAAAACAGTTTTGTCAAAATTTAAATTTTCCATTGGAAAAGAGAGATTTTGGCAGAATTTTCCACGGGGGGAGGGGGGGGGAATCTACATTTTTCTGAACTTTTTTGTTCAGAAAAAGTTTTTATATTTTGCCTTTTCATCCAGAATCAGGTTCATCAGATTCCAAAATATTGGAATTTCCAACAGGCTGGAAAGTGAGGGTGGGTTTATCAGCTTTTGTGGAGAAGCCATAGAGTGGAGGAAGAGGACTGTGTTAGTGACTTTTAGCTGGAAGGAGACTGGTGCTTCTGCACTGAGCCAGCAGTAGCTGAAGAGCTTTGCAACGCTGCTCCAGAGCCATCATAGCAGCATTGCCATTCAAAGCGCTAAGGCACTTGGCTTCCTGAGGTGACATTACCTTGAAATGTAGGCATCCTTAGGAAATTTTTAGATTTCTAGATTTTAGATTCTATGGAGAATCCTTCAAGAGACAGAGAGTCAGTGAAAAGAAACTAGGCACTCCCTCTCCAGGCCACCCAGACACTCCTGTTAGCCCACAGTCATTCCAAAGCCCTACTCACTGCCCTCAAAGTCTGATTCATTCTGCCACCACGCACACTACAAACATCCCACTCACCTCTTCCATGGTCCCCCAGAGACCACCCCTCCATACCTTCTGACACTCAACTGGCCCCCTGGCTCACCCAGTTGATGCATAAGGGAGACAGACTGGCAGAATCAGAGAATAGAAATAGCTGGGAGACCTGAGCAGTTCCATTAGCTAATCTTGGTGTAAATCTATGAGGGTGGCCTGAATAAGGAGGATAGCTGCATGTGTGTTTAATTTTAAAATTTCAAAAACAGACTATATCTATGTTATCACTCAGAGAGAGAGAGAGAAGAAAAGGGGGGGGGGAGACAAGAATTAAGGGTCTATGATTGCTTAGCTAGAGGAACTCAAAGACATGAGGAAAATAGGGCAAAATTTCAAAAGGAGCATTTTAAAAGGTTTGCTCTTCAACAGTCAGTAACAATTTTAATAAGAAAACTATATAGAAAATTTAACTGTCCTCTGAAGAGCTATTGAGCCAAATTTGGAGACTGATTCAATCATAAAAGTATGAGAACAGTGATTTTAGTCTTATTTTAAGTTCAAATCTCAGTACAAGCTTAAATGTGAAAGGCTTTCTATTTGGATTTCTTATCACAACATCCTTTTATATTTTCTGAATTCCAAACACCACAACAATTGGCCAGATTGCAAGTCCTTTTATATTCATAGATGAGGACAAGACATTTTAAATCATCACAGTTACTTTGCCACACGTTGTAGGCAAACTGCACAACCAAACTGAGTCTGCTGCATTTTCATCAAGTAACTTTCTGTTTCTCATACACATTTTTCCCACATATTATATCCAATTATCTTATAGGTTTTTTTAAGGAATACATTCAATCCTATTCCTCTCTTCAACATATGCTCTCAAAACATTTCACTCCTATTTTGTGATTTTTAGTAGACAAGATGGCATTGTATATATCACAATAAGCTTTTACATCAATTATTTCTCTACATATATGTACTTTAAGTTACATAACCACCTTTCTCTTTTATGTCACAAATCAGCTACAGTTAGGGGAGCCATCTTTGGGGTACATGTACGATGTAATCATTGTCACTGGTGTTCTACAAATTGGCATTGCAATAAATTGAACAATAAAAGGCTGGAGACCCAGGCACAAACACAGGGGATGCAAACAGGGAGATATATTCTTTCCGGCTCACCCCATTCCTCAATTCCACCCCCATTCTCTCTCCCTGACACCAGGCTGCACCCTGGCACTCTTCCCTAGTCCTCCACAGAAGGTAGGTTTGTCCTCCTACCTTTTCCTAGCTCCCCAACCACAATTAGCTCCTTTGCCCTCTCTCCTAGCCTGCGACCCACCCTCGCACCTTGAGCACAGAGCACCACTTGCCCCCCTTCCCTAGGCCCACCCTTCCCCACAGACAGGCCACCCATCTAGTGGTGAAAATAAGGTGGTACAGGCCAGCGTACCAGTAAAAAGTGGCTGCCAGTACCGACCCATACAGCTTACTTTAAAGCACTGCCACCGCGGCGCTTTAACGTCGTTGCCCCTTTTGCCCATACCCCGGGCTGCCGACAGGGGGTGAGGGCAAAAGAAGCAGTTGCCCCAGGGCTGGCAATTTAAAAGGGCCTGCCTCTCCCCCCGAGACCCCCCATACCCACCAGCTCCCCCCCTCCTCCGCCCGGGACCCTCCCTCTCCCCGCAAGCTCCCCCTTCCTCTGCCCGAGACCCCCTCTCCTCTCCCCAAAGCCCCCCCTCCTCTGCCCGAGACCCCCCCTCCTCTCCCCTCCTCTGCCCAAAACCCCCCTCTCCCCGCAAGCTCCCCCCTCCTCCCTGCCCGAGACACCCCCCTTCTCCCCAAAGCCCCCTCTCCCCGCAAGCTCCCCCCTCCTCTGCCCGAGATCCCCCTCTCCTCGAGACCCCCCGCTCACCCCTCCTCTGCCCAAGACCCCCTCCCCGCAAGCTCCCCCTCTCCTCTGCCCGAGACCCCCTCTCCTCTCCCTGAGACCCCCCAGTTCACCCCTCCTCTGCTCAAGACCCCCCCTCCCCGCAAAGTCCCCCCTCCTCCCTGCCCGAGACCCCCCTCTCCCGAAAGCCCCCTCCCTGCCTGAGACCCCCCCTCTCCCCAAAACCCCCCCTCCCCACAAGCTCCCCCCTCCTTTGCCCGAGACCCCCCCGCAAGCTCCCCCCCTCTACCCCCAAGCTCCCTTCCTCCTCCCTGCCCGAGACCCCCCCTCTCCCCACGAGCTCCCCACTCTTCTGCCCGAGACCCCCCGCTGCCTCCTCCTCTGCCAGAGACCCCCCTCTCTCCCCGCAAGCTCCCCCCCCTTGGCCCGAGACCCCCCCTCCCCGCAAGCTCCCCCCCCTCGGCCCGAGACCCCCCCCCTCCCCGCAAGCTCCCCCCCCCTCGGCCCGAGACCCCCCCCCCTCCCCGCAAGCTCCCCCCCTCGGCCCGAGACCCCCCCCCTCCCCGCAAGCTCCCCCCCCTCGGCCCGAGACCCCCCCCCCTCCCCGCAAGCTCCCCCCCCCTCGGCCCGAGACCCCCCCCCTCCCCGCAAGCTCCCCCCCCTCGGCCCGAGACCCCCCCCCTCCCCGCAAGCTCCCCCCCTCGGCCCGAGACCCCCCCCCTCCCCGCAAGCTCCCCCCCCTCGGCCCGAGACCCCCCCTCCCCGCAAGCCCCCCCCCTCGGCCCGAGACCCCCCCCCCTCCCCGCAAGCTCCCCCCCTCGGCCCGAGACCCCCCCCCCCTCCCCGCAAGCTCCCCCCCTCGGCCCGAGACCCCCCCCCCCTCCCCGCAAGCTCCCCCCCCTCGGCCCGAGACCCCCCCCTCCCCGCAAGCTCCCCCCCTCGGCCCGAGACCCCCCCCCTCCCCGCAAGCTCCCCCCCCTCGGCCCGAGATCTCCCTTCCCTGCAGGCCGCCCCCCGCCGTCTCGCCCCGGGCCGGGCTCGCTCACCTGTCGGCGGACGCGGGGGCCGCTGCCCTCCCCGGGAGCTGTCCGGCGGCGCCTGGTGCTGAAGGCGGCTTGGCAGCTCCGAGCGGCGACGGGTGTCCGGCGACGGGGCCGGGCGGGAGCCTCCCGTCAGCTCCCCCACCCTCCAGGCTGGCCTCATTTCCCATGGCAGAGCGGCGGACGGGCCGGCGGGACGGGACAGGCTCCCTCAGCGCAGCGCCGCCTCCGCCGCCGCCATCAGCCCAGCACCACCATCACCCCCAGCCCCGCCACAGAGCATGCGCCAGCCGTGAGCGCGCCCTACTCGTTCCGTCACAGGGCGCGCCTCGGACACGCGCACGGCCTAGCCAATGGGAGCAGGCGCTAGGTTCAGACCCGCCCATCCTGGGCACGTACACTGACTGGCCAATCACAGCTCGGGCTCACCCCACCCGCTGCGAGCCAATAGACCGAGAGCGCCAATCAGTCCCGATCTGTCCCGGCCGTAGAGCCTCAGGTCCCTCGAGCATGGGCACTTCCTGTCCAGTGGGAGCCCCTCTGGCCCACCCACCCCTTACCTTGCACATGCTCGCCCAGGGAAGCCCGGCTCGTCAGCGTCACGCAGGGCTCCACCAATAGTAGCCCTGCCCGGTTGCCAACCCATCGTTCTCAGCTTGGCCCATGGGTGCCCAAGCCAGTCACATGTTCTTAGCCAATGGGAGCCTCTGCCTGCCCACGTACCATGATGAGTGTGCAAGTGCCTAGCAAAGGGGCTCCATGCTGGCTACATGCTCCCTGCAGTATGTTTGCACCCCAGTAATGGGAGCCAGCAACCCATCCGTCAATGAGCGCCTGGCCCCACCCTGTGTCAGTGTCACCTCTGCAGAGGTGGAGAATTCACAGCCAGGCTGGAGAGCTCACAGGCGGTAGAGTGAGCACAGGGTAAGAGAGGAGGGAGGTAGAGAGTGAGGCACTCTCACTAGATCACTAGATGCAAGGTGAAGGCCTCAGCTGACATTTGTGCGGAAAAAGGAGGCACTTCTGGGCTGCCCCACTGCCAGCCTCCTCTTGGACAAGCACTCATAGAGGACAGGAGACATCCCAGAGGACTGGAGAAGGGAAAATGTAGTGCCTGTCTTTAAAAGGGGGAGCAAAGAGGCACAGAGGAATAATAAACTTCCTAACTCAGTCAGCCTAACTTTAATATCTGGAAAATACAGCAACAGATTATTAAACACTGGAGGATATTAAGGAATAGCCAGCATGGGTTTGTCAAGAACAAACCATGCTAAACCAACCTAATTTCCTGTGACCAAGTCACACATGACATTCTCATAAACAAACTAGGGAAATGTAGGCTAGATGAAATTACCATAAGGTTGGCACATGATTAGTTGAAAAACCATACTCAAAAAGTAGTTATCAATGGCTTGCCATCAAACTGGGAAGTTGTATCTAGTGGTCAGTAATTGGTCTGATACTATTTAATATTTTAATTAAAGACATAGATAATGGCCTGGAGAGTATGCTTATAAAATTTGTGGGTGATGTCAAGCTGGGACTCGTTGCAAGCGCTTTGGAGAATAGGATTAAAATTCAGAATAAGCGTCATGCTGTCAGGAGTGGCTCAAAACTGAGAGTGCCAATCTCATGTCAGACTGTCAGAAAACAGGACCAGTAATATATGTGAACTCCTGGAGTCACAGAGAGTCCCCTTATGGCCTCTAGCCCATATTGGCAACCACACAAACTGGACTTTGTGCTAATGGTCACTATACCGAAAATCACATCACATTAGGTTACTTCCAATCCAAAGGATCAGTCACTTACCCCAGATCAGTTAGTTCTCTGGATCTTACAAAAGACAATGCAGGCAGCCAATTTTCTAGTGAACTAACTAAATGTTTATTAGCATGGGCAGCGGGTATCATAGACTGGGGAAGGCTCTGCCTTCCCAAACAGCCAGCTGTGGCTCCGCACAAACTCCCCCACCCCCGAGGCTCCCTCCTGCTTCCCACTCTGGCCCACTCTTCCCAGTTCCCTTTTCAGTGGGTGGCCCGCAGCGCTGGCTGGTCCTGGAATCTCCACCCGCCCGGTGCTTTATGGTCGGGGAGGTCATGCTGCCTGCCTGGCACTCTGGGGATGGGAACCCCCTGGGGCAGGGGGTACTAGCCTGGGGCAGGGGCCAGTGGCTGCAGTGAGGGGCTCTGGGCTGTGGCAGGGAGGCAAAAGGGCCTCGGCTGGAAGGGGCGGAGTTGCGGTCTAGCCTCCCCCAGCCAGCGATCCATGAACCACCCATGTTTCTTAGTTAAGAAAAATAAATGAAAGGTTAAAGTAGGTAAAATATATTAATAGGCGAGTTAAAGTCTATAAATCCAAAATGATAGTAGAGATGTCGTAATCTGCCAGTTTCCCAAAAGTCTTTTCCCTGAATAACTCTGAGGATCTCTGTCTTCAAGTTCAGTTATTTCATCCGGTTTGAATCTAAACAGTCCAGAGATGCAGGATTCCTTTGAATCAGTATTTATATCTTTGTCAGATAACAATGTGACGAGGGGCCAGGGAGCATTTCTTGTTACAGGGATAAACATCATATAAATCCCTGCCATTGCATTATAATAGGAATAGTATTGTTCTTACTTATCAAGTACCATTCCATTAGTTTTCATGAAGTTCTAACACTTGAATACACTCTTCATTAACACACACCTTAATGTAGGTTTATCTAATTACAGGAGATACATAATGTGTATGTAATACAATAACAAACAACAGGATATAGATAGGCAAAAACAATACAGTCAACATTTCCTTTGATCTCTATTAACACATGAGTGAATTAGTCTATGCGTACTATTATACTTAACATTTCTTTGATGTTCACACACAAGTGAATTGGTCTATGGGTCTGGTCTGTCAGCATCACAACAAGCTTGCCAAATTAGAGAATTGGTCTGAAATCTACAAGATGAACTTCAATAGAGACAAGTACAAAGTCCTTCAGTTAGGAAAGAAAAATCAAATGCACAACTACAAAATGGAGAATAACTGGCTATGTGGTAGTACCAAAAAGGATCTGAGGGTTATAGTGGATCACAAATTGAATACTAGTCAATAATGTTGTGCAGTTGTGAAAAAGTAATGTCAGGGGTGTGTTAACAGGAGTGTCATATGTAAGACACAGGCGGTATTGTCCCACTCTACTTGGCACTGGTTAAGTCTCAGCTGGAATACTGTGTCCGGTTCTGGGCATTACATTTTAGGAAAGATGTGGACAATTTGGAAAGTCCAGAGAAGAGCAACAAAAATAAAAAGTTTAGAAAACCTGACCTATGAGGAAAGGTTAAAAAAACTGGACGTATTTAGTCTTGAGAAAAGAAGATTGCGGAGCACCTGATAACAGTCTTCACATATAAGGTCTGGCATAAAGAGGACAGGGATCAGTTGTTCTCCATGTCTGCTGGAGGTAGAACAAGAAGTAATTAATCTGTAGCAGGAGAGATAGTTTAGATATTAGAAAAAATGTTCATGGATTCCAGGAAACTGAATCTAATGCCAGAAGGGACCATTGTGATCATCTAGTCTCACCTCTTGTATAATACAGGCCATAGAACTTCCCCAAAATAATTCCTAGAGCAGGTCTTTTAGAAAAAATGCTACTCTATTTAAAAAAGTTTAGGGTATGTCTACACTACGAAATTAGGTCGACTTTATAGAAGTCGTTTTTTTAGAAATCGTTTTTAAATAGTCAATTGTGTGTGTCCCCACACAAAATGCTCTAAGTGCATTAAGTGCATTAACTCGGCAGAGTGCTTCCACAGTACTGAGGCTAGCGTCGACTTCCGGAGTGTTGCACTGTGGGTAGCTATCCCACAGTTCCCGCAGTCTCCGCTGCCCATTGGAATTCTGGGTTGAGATCCCAATGTCTGATGGGGCAAAAAACATTGTCGCGGGTGGTTCTGGGTACATGTCATCAGGCCCTCCTTCCCTCCCTCCCTCTGTGAAAGCAACGGCAAACAATCGTTTTGCGCCTTTTTTCCTGAGTTACCTGTGCAGACGCCATACCACGGCAAGCATGGAGCCCGCTCAGATCACTTTGGCAATTAGGAGCACATTAAACACCACATGCATTATCCAGCAGTATATGCAGCACCAGAACCTGGCAAAGCGAAACCGGGCGAGTAGGCAACATCAGCGCGGAGACGAGAGTGATGAGGACATGGACACAGACTTCTCTCAAAGCATGGGCCCTGGCAATACAGGCATCATGGTGCTAATGGGGCAGGTTCATGCCGTGGAATGCCGATTCTGGGCTCGCGAAACAAGCACAGACTGGTGGGACCACATAGTGTTGCAGGTCTGGGACGATTCCCAGTGGCTGCGAAACTTTCGCATGCATAAGGGCACTTTCATGGAACTTTGTGACTTGCTTTCCCCTGCCCTGAAGCGCATGAATACCAAGATGAGAGCAGCCCTCACAGTTGAGAAGCGAGTGGCAATAGCCCTGTGGAAGCTTGCAACGCGAGACAGCTACCAGTCAGTCGGGAATCAATTTGGAGTGGGCAAATCTACTGTGGGGGCTGCTGTGATGCAAGTATCCAACGCAATGAAAGATCTGCTGATATCAAGGGTAGTGACCCTGGGAAATGTGCAGGTCATAGTGGATGGCTTTGCTGCAATGGGATTCCCTAACTGTGGTGGGGCCATAGACGGAACCCATATCCCTATCTTGGCACCGGAGCACCAAGCCAGCGAGTACATAAACCGCAAGGGGTACTTTTCAATAGTGCTGCAAGCTCTGGTGGATCACAAGGGACGTTTCACCAACATCAACGTGGGATGGCAGGGAAAGGTACATGACGCTCGCATCTTCAGGAACTCTGGTCTGTTTCAAAAGCTGCAGGAAGGGACTTTATTCCCAGACCAGAAAATAACCATTGGGGATGTTGAAATGCCTATAGTTATCCTTGGGGACCCAGTCTACCCCTTAACGCCATGGCTCATGAAGCCGTACACAGGCAGCCTGGACAGTAGTCAGGAGCTGTTCAACTACAGGCTGAGCAAGTGCAGAATGGTGGTAGAATGTGCATTTGGACGTTTAAAAGCGCGCTGGCGCAGTTTATTGACTCGGTTAGACCTCAGCAAAACCAATATTCCCACTTATTACTGCTTGCTGTGAGCAATATCTGTGAGAGTAAGGGGGAGACGTTTATGGCAGGGTGGGAGGTTGAGGCAAATCGCCTGGCCGCTGGTTACGCGCAGCCCGACACCAGGGCGGTTAGAAGAGCACAGGAGGGCGCGGTGCACATCAGAGAAGCTTTGAAGACCAGTTTCATGACTGGCCAGGCTACGGTGTGAAAGTTCTGTTTGTTTCTCCTTGATGAAACCCCCTGCCCCTTGGTTCACTCTACTTCCCTGTAAGCTAAGCACCCTCCCCTCCTCCCTTCAATCACCACTTTCAGAGACAATAAAATCATTGTTGCTTCACATTCATGCATTCTTTATTAATTCATCACACAAACAGGGGGATAACTGCCAAGGTAGCCTGGGAAGGGTGGTGAAGGAGAGAAGCACCGGGAGGGGTGGTGGAGGAGGGAAGGACAAGGACACACAGCACTTTACTAAGTTTAAAACTTTAAAACTTATTGAATGCCAGCCTTTTGTTGCTTGAGCAATCCTCTGGGGTGGAGTGGCTGGGTGGCCGGAGGGCCCCCCCCCCGCGTTCTTCGGCGTCTGGGTGAGGAGGCTATGGAACTTGGGGAGGAGGGTGGTTGGTTACACAGGGGCTGTAGCGCCGGTCTGTGCTCCTGCTGCCTTTCCTGCAGCTCAACCATACTCTGGAGCACATTAGTTTGATCCTTCAGCAGCCTCAGCATTGAATCCTGCCTCCTCTCATCATGCTGCCGCCACCTTTCAGCTTTAGTCCTCTCTTCAGCCCGCCACCTCTCCCCCCGGTCATTTTGTGCTTTCCTGCACTCTGACATTGTCTGCCTCCATGCATTCGTCTGTGTTCTGTCAGTGTGGAAGGACAGCATGAGCTCAGAGAACATTTCATCACAAGTGCCTTTTTTTCGCCTTCTAATCTTCACTAGCCTCTGGGAAGGAGAAGATCCTGTGATCCTTGAAACACATGCAGCTGGTGGAGAAAAAAAAAGGGTCAGTGGTATTTAAAAAGACACATTTTATAGATCAATGGATACACTCTTTCACGGAAAACCTTGCTGTTAACATTACATACACAGCACATGTGCTTTCGTTACAAGGTTGCATTTTGCCTCCCCCCACCATGTGGCTAGCCCCTCACCCCTCCCCGTGGCTAAGAGCAGGGAACATTTCTGTTCAGCCACAGGCAAACAGCCCAGCAGGAATGGGCACCTCTGAATGTCCCCTTAAGAAAAGCACCCTATTTCAACCAGGTGATCATGAATGATATCACTCTCCTGAGGATAACACAGAGAGAAAAAGAACAGATGTTGTTTGAATCCAGCAAACATACACTGCAATGCTTTGTTCTACAATGATTCCCGAGTACGTGCTACTGGCCTGGAGTGGTAAAGTGTCCTACCATGGTGGACGGAATAAGGCTGCCCTCCCCAGAAACCTTTTGCAAAGGCTCTGGGAGTACATCCAGGAGAGCTGCAAATGCCAGGGCAAATGAATCATTAAACATACTTGCTTTTAAACCATGTATAGTATTTTAAAAGGTACACTCACCAGAGGTCCCTTCTCCACCTGGCGGGTCCAGGAGGCAGCTTTGGGTGGGTTCGGGGGGTACTGGTCCAGGTACAGGGTGAGAAACAGTTCCTGGCTGTAGGGAAAACCGGTTTCTTCCCTTGCTTGCTGTGAGCTATCTACAACTGCATCATCATCATCTTCCTCGTCCCAAAAACCTGCTTCTGTGTTGCCTCCATCTCCATTGAAGGAGTCAAACAACACGACTGGGGTAGTGGTGGCTGAACCCCCTAAAATGGCATGCAGCTCATCAAAGAAGCAGCATGTTTGGGGCTCTGACCTGGGGCGGCCGTTTGCCTCTCTGGTTTTCTGGTAGGCTTGCCTCAGCTCCTTAAGTTTCACGTGGCACTGCTTCAGGTCCCTGTTATGCCCTCTGTTCTTCATGCCCTGGGAGATTTTGACAAATATTTTGGCATTTCGAAAACTGGAACAGAGTTCTGATAGCACGGATTCCTCTCCCCATACAGCGAACAGATCCCGTACTTCCCGTTCAGTCCATGCTGGAGCTCTTTTGCAATTCTGGGACTCCATCATGGTCACCTCTGCTGATGAGCTCTGGCCAGCGTGGCAAGCTGCAGGTGACCATGCAAACAGGAAGTTGAAATTCAAAAGTTTGCGGGCCTTTTCCTGTCTACCTGGTCAGTGCATCTGAGTTGAGAGTGCTGTCCAGAGCAGTCACAATAGAGCACTCTGGGATAGCTCCTGGAGGCCAATACCGTTTAATTGCGTCCACAGTACCCCAAATTCGACCAGGCAAGGCCAATTTAAGCACTAATCCCCTTGTCAGGGGTGGAGTAAGGAAATCGATTTTAAGAACCCTTTAAGTAAAAAAAAAGGGCTTCATCGTGTGGATGGGTGCAGGGTTAAATTGATTTAACACTGCTAAATTCGACCTCAACTCCTCGTATAGACCAGGGCATAGTGATGGAGAATCCACCATGACCCTTAGTAAATTATTTCAATGGTTAATTACTCTCACTTAAAAACGTTCACCTTATTTCCAGTCTGAATTTGTGAAGCTTCAACTCCAGCCACTGGATTGTGTTTTCCCTTTCTCTGTTAGATTGAAGAGCCCATTATTAAATATTACTGCTGAGATCATTATGCCCACAATATTTTAAAATTCTGCAAAATTCTGCAAATTTTATTTGTCAATAAATAAATGTGGCTCCAGCATGGAAGTGGGGAGCACAGGCCACTGGCTGCATTGAGGTGGGAGATCACCCTGAAGCCCCTACCTTCCCCTGCACAGTGACTCAGCACTGAGGCTGCACCTTACCCTGACACAATTCAAGGGCTGGGCCAGAAACACCCTGGGGCCCTGCCCCTCTGTGCCAGGTGCATCAGGTGTGGCTGGGCAGGCTCAGCCCAGCAGGATCCAAGTGTGGAGGGGCTTAGTGTGGGGGATTGAGAGGGTTCTGTGTAGGGCAATCTGTGTGCAGGCAGCTCAGTGGGAGATCTGGATGCACAGTGGCTCGTTGGAGGGTTCCGGGTGCAGGGGCAATGGGACTCTGCAGGGGATCCAGGTGAAGGTGGTTGGGGCTCAGCGGGGGGGTTCTGGGTGTGAGGAGATGGGGCTCAGCAGTGAGGGTCTGGGGGGCTCAATTGGGGGTCCGGATGCTGGGGGAGTGGGGCTTGATGGGGTGGGAGTCCAGGTGCAGCTGGTTGGGGATCAGTGGGGTGGGGGTCTGGATGTGGGGGGCTCGTTGAAGGGGTCCAGGTGGAGGGGGGTAGGGCTTATCAGAGTGAGGGTCCGATGGTCCTGCTTAACAGGGGAGCCCCAGCTGCTGCCTAAGGGATGCTGCATGCCGGGCTCCCACATCTCCCCACGATTCCCCTATCCCCTTTCCTTCTCCATCCCCTTCCCCTTACTCCCACGTTCCCCTCCCCCTGCCCTATTCCACCCCCCTTCCTTCCCCACTGCCTCTTCTCCCCACCCCCTCACCCTGCTTTCACTCATTTCCCGCACCTCCCCCTTCCCCAGCCCCACCATGGGCACTCACTGTTGCACAAAAAACAGGAAGGCTCCCAGCACATAGAACAGGAGCACGACTGGTACTAGGATCGAGGCAGTGACGTTCAGCTGCAGAGTCAGCGGAGCTGAGACACGCAGCCTCCCTCAGCTGGGCAGCTCTACGCTTGTAGAAATGGGGGGGGGGGTGCCGTGGCATGTAACCCCATGTACCCCCCAGGTACACCTCTATGGGGGGGGGCAATCCCCCTTGAAAACACTGCACCCATAGTCATCTCCCCCACTTTCCTCCCCCGCACAGCTTCCCTTTGCTTCCCTGCCATTTTCTGCAGGGAAGCACAGGAATTCTGCAGGAGGGCCGTTTTCTGCAGCTGCACAGTCACACAATCCCCCCAGGTGTAAAATATTTATTCCCTATGGAGACTGTAATCAAGTTACCCCTTATTCTTCTCTTTGTTAAGATAAATAGATTGAGCTCTTTGAATCTATCACTATAAGGCAGGTTTTCTAATCCTTTAATAATTCTTGTAGCTCTTCTCTGAATCCTCTCCAACCCTTTCTAACAATATGACAGTTAAGCTCTGGAATAGGTTTCCAAGGGAGGCTGTGGAATCTCCGTCACTGGAGGTTTTTAAGAACAGGCTGGACAAATACCTGTCAGGATGGTCTAGGATTACTTGGTCCTGCTTCTCACAAGGGGCTGGACTTGATGACTTTCTGTGAGGTCCCTCCCACCTGTACATTTCTATGCTTTTATGATTCTGGACAGCCCTGCTGATTCCAAGTGACCCTTCCCTGAATATTTTGTGTAAATCACTTGGTGGTGGCAGCAATATCAGTCTAAGGAATTAGTGCTTTAGAGAAGTTTAAACCTAAGCTGGTAAAATATAAGCTTAGGGGGTCCTTCATGCAGGTCCCCATATCTGTACGCCAGAATTCAGAGCGGGAGGGAACCCTGACAGGTTGTGTGCACCAACCTGCGCCTTCACTATTTATGCCCATGTTTGGCCAATAGGAACATGCACCCAACTTGTCCTACCCCACAAGCATACATACTTCCTGGGAAATAGGAGTCCAAGCCAGCCCCCACATAAACGTGCAGGCAGCCCAGCTAATGGGAATCCATACCCTCTTGGTTTCTTTCAGTCTTTGAGAGGAGGATGTCTATTTAGACTGCAAAGGGTGGGCTATGCAAAGACCAGTTTTCCCCCGACCTTACAAGCTGGAGCCCAGGAAAACTTGCTGGGCTAATTCTCCAAACTCTGTATGGGCTAAAGCCATGGTGTCCCTGCAGAGTTCAGCTCCCGTCCCCCTCAACTTGAACTGAAGTCAGGGAGACCCTAATAGGCTTGGGTCACCCATCACCAACAGAGATCATAGTCCAGCAACTCACCAGGATTCTAAGAGACCAGGATGTGCAGGTCTGACAGATAAAATAAGAACATGTCTTTATTAGTACTGTGGATAAGTTTTATATGGAGAAAATCATGATACAATGAACATGGAGCCCAGCAGTGTTATTTTTCACAGGAAAGCTGCATTTTATATGAATGTATCTGTAAACTCTGTTGTTCATTGTGGTAATTTCTATATAGGTTTTTATTCCCTGTTTATCACTGTACTATCTGAGCACTTTACAGTAGCTATGATGCTATATGAAAAGGAAGATGACCATTTATATTGTTGCTACCACTGTTGCACAATTGCACTAAATCTAATACAAAGCAGGACAGTGGAATAGTTATAATCTGCTAAATTTGATAGTCCTGTTCCTATGCATGTGTCATCTTTGTATCTGAAGTTATGAATATTTGCTATGTAGTTGTATCTTCAACATTTGTTGTGTTCCTGGGTGACCCCCCCCATTCCCCTGACAGATTTGGATCAACACTAGCCAGCCTGCTTGATGGCCCATTAAGGACAGTCAACTATTCCAGGGTCCCTCCCAAAAACTCCTCAAGGAGCAGGTGCTTAATGAATACCCCTATGATTCAGCCAAGCATGTAAGGACATAGAATCATAGAATCATAGAATCATAATCAGGGTTGGAAGGGACCCCAGAAGGTCATCTACTCCAACCCCCTGCTCGAAGCAGGACCAGTTCCCAGTTAAATCATCCCAGCCAGGGCTTTGTCAAGCCTGACCTTAAAAACCTCTAAGGAAGGAGATTCTACCACCTTCCTAGGTAACGCATTCCAGTGTTTCACCACCCTCATAGTGAAAAAGTTTTTCCTAATATCCAACCTAAACCTCCCCCCCTGCAACTTGAGACCATTACTCCTCGTTCTGTCATCTGCTACCATTGAGAACTGTCTAGAGCCATCCTCTTTGGAACCCCCTTTCAGGTAGTTGAAAGCAGCTATCAAATCCCCCCTCATTCTTCTCTTCTGCAGGCTAAACAATCCCAGCTCCCTCAGCCTCTCCTCATAACTCATGTGTTCTAGACCACTAATCATTTTTGTTGCCCTTCGCTGGACTCTCTCCAATTTATCCACATCCTTCTTGTAGTGTGGGGCCCAAAACTGGACACAGTACTCCAGATGAGGCCTCACCAATGTCGAATAGAGGGGAACGATCACGTCCCTCGATCTGATCGCTATACCCCTACTTATACATCCCAAAATGCCATTGGCTTTCTTGGCAACAAGGGCACACTGCTGACTCATATCCAGCTTCTCATCCACTGTCACCCCTAGGTCCTTTTCCGCAGAACTGCTGCCTAGCCATTCGGCCCCTAGTCTGTAGCGGTGCATTGGATTCTTCCGTCCTAAGTGCAGGACCCTGCACTTATCCTTATTGAACCTCATCAGATTTCTTTTGGCCCAATCCTCCAATTTGTCTAGGTCCTTCTGTATCCTATCCCTCCCCTCCAGCGTATCTACCACTCCTGCTAGTTTAGTATCATCCGCAAATTTGCTGAGAGTGCAATCTACACCATCCTCCAGATCATTTATGAAGATATTGAACAAAACCGGCCCCAGGACCGACCCCTGGGGCACTCCACTTGACACCGGCTGCCAACTAGACATGGAGCCATTGATCACTACCCGTTGAGCCCGACAATCTAGCCAGCTTTCTACCCACCTTATAGTGCATTCATCCAGCCCATACTTCCTTAACTTGCTGACAAGAATACTGTGGGAGACCGTGCCAAAAGCTTTGCTAAAGTCAAGAAACAATACATCCACTGCTTTCCCTTCATCCACAGAACCAGTAATCTCATCATAAAAGGTGATTAGATTGGTCAGGCATGACCTTCCCTTGGTGAATCCATGCTGGCTGTTCCTGATCACTTTCCTCTCATTCAAGTGCTTCAGGATTGATTCTTTGAGGACCTGCTCCATGATTTTTCCAGGGACTGAGGTGAGGCTGACTGGCCTGTAGTTCCCAGGATCCTCCTTCTTCCCTTTTTTAAAGATTGGCACTACATTAGCTTTTTTCCAGGCATCCGGGACTTCCGCCGTTCGCCACGAGTTTTCAAAGATAATGGCCAATGGCTCTGCAATCACAGCCGCCAATTCCTTCAGCACTCTCGGATGCAACTCGTCCGGCCCCATGGACTTGTGCACGTCCAGCTTTTCTAAATAGTCCCTAACCACCTCTATCTCCACAGAGGGCTGGCCATCTCTTCCCCATTTTGTGATGCCCAGCGCAGCAGTCTGGGAGCTGACCTTGTTAGTGAAGACAGAGGCAAAAAAAGCATTGAGTACATTAGCTTTTTCCACATCCTCTGTCACTATTTTGCCTCCCTCATTCAGTAAGGGGCCCACACATTCCTTGGCTTTCTTCTTGTTGCCAACATACCTGAAGAAACCCTTCTTGTTACTCTTGACATCTCTGGCTAGCTGCAGCTCCAGGTGCGATTTGGCCCTCCTGATAACATTCCTACATGCCCGAGCAATATTTTTATACTCTTCCCTGGTCATATGTCCAACCTTCCACTTCTTGTAAGCTTCTTTTTTATATTTAAGATCCGCTAAGATTTCACCATTAAGCCAAGCTGGTCGCCTGCCATATTTACTATTCTTTCGACTCATCGGGATGGTTTGTCCCTGTAACCTCAACAGGGATTCCTTGAAATACAGCCAGCTCTCCTGGACTCCTTTCCCCTTCATGTTAGTCCCCCAGGGGATCCTGGCCATCCTTTCCCTGAGGGAGTCGAAGTCTGCTTTCCTGAAGTCCAGGGTCCATATCGTGCTGCTTACCTTTCTTCCCTGTGTCAGGATCCTGAACTCAACCAACTCATGGTCACTGCCTCCCAGATTCCCATCCACTTTTGCTCCCCTCACTAATTCTACCCGGTTTGTGAGCAGCAGGTCAAGAAAAGCGCCCCCCCTAGTTGGCTCCTCTAGCACTTGCGCCAGGAAATTGTCCCCTACGCTTTCCAAAAACTTCCTGGATTGTCTATGCACCGCTGTATTGCTCTCCCAGCAGATATCAGGAAAATTAAAGTCACCCATGAGAATCAGGGCATGCGATCTAGTAGCTTCCGTGAGCTGCCGGAAGAAAGCCTCATCTACCTCATCCCCCTGGTCCGGTGGTCTATAGCAGACTCCCACCACTACATCACTCTTGTTGCACACACTTCTAAACTTAATCCAG